TTCAATCTTAATAAATGGCACACAGGCTAGCTGTGTGCCGTGGAAAACCACACACCTTGTTGGGCTGATTGCCAGACTACCACAAACTGAACAGGGGGCAGGGAGATGGATACAAGTTTTTGAGGATGAACTGTAGGGAAAATGTTGACTACACCAGACATGAAAGCACTCTTGGCTCAACTGCTGGGAACTAAGACGATGGAGGAGTTTCTGCACAAGGCAAAACAAGGTTGGATGACGAATCCCATGATAGATGGGAGTGAGTTCAATGCATATTGTGATGTGATGTGGAGGGTGCTGCCAAATGAAGAGTGGAGACTGAAAGAACAGGAAAAGAACATTAAGCAGAAGTTGATACAGCTACAGCTGGGAAAACAGCGATGCAGAAACAAAGTACAGACTCAGGCTGCAATGGTAGCCACCTCTAAGTGGGACACTGCAAAAGAGACCCAGCAATGCAGACCGTGCAGACGCTAACTGCAGTAAAACCTGCTACAGCAACCTGTTTAATCACCTGTTGTGAATGTTTATCCTCAGACAGAACCCTGCACCAAAGACAGATGATATATCCCAGCAGGGGGAGTGACATCGAAAGGCCTGCTGGGGATGTGATCATACTGAGGTTGGATGATAACATTATGGTGTGTCCTTGAGTGCAGTATAACTGGACCTGAGGCTGATGTTTGACTGTCATATTGAGTAATATATCCTCTAAAGCGAGCAGCTGAGGAGGGAAGCAGAGTTTAACTGAGGGGCCTGCTAAAAACCGCAGTGCTAATTGAGATATAGGGTGTAACATTTCTATTCTGTTAGTTTAATACTGATAAATCCAAATATGGCTGTGCTGAATCCGCATACACTCCTCACAGATGTGCCACCTAATGTAAAAGTAATGGGAAGCTATCTAAGGCTAATAAGGCCACAGAAAATGTTTTAAAGTTAAATAACTATTTTGGTACCAGTAGTATTAACAAACCAACTCAGGATCTGACTTGCACGGTGATTCACACTGTGTAAGGGGGGAGATGATGAGACAATTAAAACATGAGATTTTTAGAATATGCTGACTATAGTTGATAAACTCTTGGGTCATTGTGATATGTGTTTTCAGATCAGTTGAAGAGACCAATAAAACATTAATGGGACACTTTTCCAGTTCCAGAGAGACGCTTTTAGACATCTATTCATAGACATGGCAAACAGGACACTATCTAAAACTATTAATCATCAAAGTCCTTGCCTAAACTTTACTTTATTGATGTTTACATTTAGTTAGAGGAGAATTTTTGCAAGCAATCTGGGACACGGTTGCTTTTATGCTACGCTAGTGTTGTTGAATCCTGTTGGTTTTGCAAAGTGATATGGTGTCATTCAAGTTTAAGCTGACCTTTTATTTCACTGAGGCTAATAACCAGTTTATTTCTTTTTTCTAATTTTAGCATGTGGTCCAGAGGAAGTAATGAAATGCTATGCAAAAGTGGTGAAGACTTACAAAAAGAAGAAATCGATCAAAGCAGCATGCAGGGCAGTGAGTGTAGATCACAATACGGTTGCATTAAATTCACGTATTGCTGAGCTCAACATTGCTGCCCCTGAGAAATATGAAGAGTTCAGGCAGCAGCACACAAGAAAAGAAAAACTTGGAGATTTTGCCCGAAAATGTCTTAATATTATTCAAAGAAATACTGTTATCCACGACCAGGTCCAGGCGCTGAAGAGGTCAGGAAAATCACTGCCTCTGGGGAAGGATAATTTTTAAGTAAATGTTGAGTTGAGGGTTACATTTTACTTGGTTTGTTCACACTTTTGAAAGGGAATGTTTATATATTTTTTGTTTTCTGTTCATTTTCTAAATAGTTGTTTCTTTGATGTCAAAACAATGTGTTAATTGTAACACATTGTTCAGGTTTTTGCCTATGTTTAAAAAAAGGTGTTCCACATGTTTATAAGCTCAGTCCTAATTTTAATTGTTTGCAAAGGCCTGTTAGACCAAACTGATTTTTTTTCAGAGCTGTTTGAGCTTATCACTAAATGCTGTGTTTACAAATCTATTTTCCACATCATTTATTAATGATTAAAAAATGATACATTATATTAATCTTTTGTCCTACTTTCACACTTTAGATCCAGTACCTGCAAATTAGTTTAACTAGCTATTTTTTCCTTTTTAATTTTATTTTTGTGCCTTTAGTTCAGAGAAAGTACAGTTGATATAGTTGGAAATCAGGAAGGGAGAGAGAGTGTCATGACATGTGAATGAAGCAAAGGTGGGGTTTGAACCTGAACACACTTACCACAGTATCCCCATTTTTATAGCTCTAAATAAGTGCATTATGAAGTATTTATTATTTTTTATAAGCAGTGTTCCTACTTTAGATCCAGTACCTGCAGTAGAGCTATATTATGAAGCGTACTTAATGTAAACAAACATATTATTAATGTTTATGACAGTATAAAAACAATTAATGAGTTTCTAATTAGTGCATATAAGTGTCTTTAGGTATTTATTATTCCTCTATTAACACTTATATAGACTTATTTGCATTAATAAGAATCTAATAAGGTCTTATAATGTCTTATAAGTAACTTATTAAATATTAGTTATAACTTATTACAACCACCTTAGTATATAGTGTTACCCCAATCCGAACTGAATATTACAGTCTAGACTGAATTGATGTACTAAAAAACCAACACTACAAAAGTATCTCACAAAACCAACAAAGCAGATACCTTCAGCTGAAGAAAACCTCTGAAGATAGTGGGGGCCACTAGAAAAGATAGCTGTAAAATAGCTACACATTTATTAAAAAAAAAAAAAAATGATAACACATTCTTCAGGTAATTACATTTTTCCTGAGAGCTCTTAATCAAAGAGTGTGTTGGAAAAATTAACAGCATCTGTGATCTGCCCTTTCTCAAGGTCCCGCCCACATAAAGAAATAAAGAAGAAACTTTCATTGTAATGATACAGCAGTGTAAAACAGTCTTAAAGATTTACAGCTGGGTGTAATAGACCATTATTTTGCCCCTAAAAACTATAAACTGTTGCTATCTCGTTGACTGTTTGCTGTCACTGTTGCCATGAGTCAGTTTTCTCAAAGTATCAGTCAGTATAAAGTGGACATGTATATATGTAAGTTTAAACTTGGCATGGCTTGACAGTTGGAGGAGCATGAAGATGGTTAATTTAGGTCTTACCTCGAACTCATACTTTATGAGCTTTTGGTAAAATTTCTCCCTTCAGGCTCCTAACAGGCTGATTTGCCCTTTTCTCAGCCCAAACCCTGAGAGTTTAAGTATTTTTGTTTGCTGCCTGAAACTCACAAAATCCACTTTTACCTTGTTGAACAGATTGATGGTGTGCTTCATTTTCTGACAGTCTTATTTGTGGTTGGATCTTGATAAAATGAACTTTATATCATGTTAGATTTAGGTATAGACTCCATATGGAAGTAGATAGGTGTGAAATTAATGTGATGGTAATGTACTGTGAAATGCACACCTATTTAAGGAAGGTCTACCTTTAGATCCAATCCCTGACTCATTAGTACAGGATTAATGTGCCTCGTAGAAAAATGCTGAGTCAGACTAATAGTATGGCATGTGGTTGGTGTGTTACACAATAACTATGATTCCCAAACAATGAATATAAATAAGTAAAGGACCATTATTCTTCATGAATTTTTCCCCTCCTGCATTAAAAAGGCAAAATGATAAACAGAGTAGTGTGCATCCACCTCTATCGACAACTGTTCCTCTCAGTGGCTCCTATAGAAAATCCAATTTTACACACCATGGCCTTTGTAGATTACTTTCTATTTCCTCCACCCAATTTTTATGAAGACATTGTGATTTTATTAACCAGTAAATACAGTTCTGTGTCACATAGTATGCATACTTATACATAAAGATTCATCAAACACAGGCTAGGAGATGGAGATGCACATTTTAAGTCACAGCAGTTAGCTCACCACAGTAATATTGCACAGTATCTGTTCCTCAGTATCTGTTCCTTAGTCATAACCAGTGGCGGTTCTAGACTAAATTACTCCCCGGGTGAGCACTAAAAACAGCACTAAAAAATAAAAAATAAATAAATAAATACGTGGCTGACAGTGTGTTCATGTCTATGCTCACACGTTGCTCAGATTTATTATTATTATTATTATAACTGTCTTTTATTTCATTTTTTTGGAAGTGCTTGTGCCGCCCCCCATGAGTCATGACACAATTGCCGCCCCGGGCGGCTGCCCTGTATGCCTGTGCCTAGAACCACTACTGGTCATAACTCACCTCTGCCTACAGCAAGACTTATTGAACATGAAACCAGTAAAATAGTTTTTCACAAGTTCAAATAGATGTAGAAAATAAAAATATGCATGTCTTCGTTGTATGGACATTTTTAAAACACGCAAAGTACTTCAGTAAGAGCTCCCCCTCTTACCATTTAAACGTGACTTGCTTCGTGTGTCAAATGAATGGGTACGGTTTTTATTCTGTTCAATCTCATTTGAAGCTTCTTGACTAAGTGAAAAACAAGCAAAAGAAGCTAAAGTGGCAACCTGTTGAAAATTGGACCCATTAGTTTCTGAAGTGAAGCTTTAAACACTATCAATGGCAATTACGAAATAGGATTTATTGAGCTAACCTTACTTTCTGCTTAGCGAGCAACAGGCAAAGATGTTGTAGCGATTTGAAATGAGCCTCACAAGGCTCATTGGAATTTATAATAAATGTCTGAAGATTAATAATCTCAAATTATGACATTTATGCACTCGTTGATAGGGGCACCACCCACCCTTAATGGTGGGAAAATAAAGAAAACAAAAGTTTAATTCAGAAATCAAACATCAAGTCAGTTTTAATTAATCAGTCTCATATCTTAAGTCGAAATTCTAATTTCAGGGACTCCACTTCTGGAAGAACACTAACAGACCAGAACTTAGGAAAAATAATTATCTGTTTATTACAGGATAAATGATGGTACAACACACATGCAATAAATGATGATAAGATAATGAGGATAAATAATAATAGGTGAATAAATAAAGGTTCTGAGTCAGGCTAGGAGCACTAAAGTTAATGATAGTGAGTGAATATGCGCTAACATATTAACCTACACTAACTTTGGTGTCGAGATAAACTCGGATGTGGATTTGGAGGAATCTAAGATTACCAGAATAAGAGGATATCTGAGTTATGAACGCGTGAGACAGCATCAGCCCTCTTTGGAGCTCTGGAGGTTTGCATACTTAAGTGAGACTGGTCCTTGGAGAAGATGAAGCAGGTTCCGAAGGTCCGGGGCTACTGGCGGTTCGAGCGGTTCAGCTCAGAAGACGACTGAAGTCAGCCGAAGGATGGGCCAGGAGTTGCAGCACTCGGGCCCGAAGCAAAACCAGCGCCTGTGGATCCTGTGGATGCTCGTTTGGGTACTTCTTTGGTCTCACTCAAAAACTCTGGCACAGAGGATGACCTGGGCCTGCTGGGTTGTGTTCAGAGGTGACTTGAAATCACGCAGATAACTCAGAAAAACGAGACTCGAGCAGAGAAAACTTTCAAAAATGGCTTCGCGAAATTAAAGAAAAATCAATCAAAGGCTTAATCTTGAATAGCTATGCGCACAAAAAGTTGAAGTTTCAAAACTTGAACTAAGATGATGTTAAAGAAAAATCAACGTGAATCAACACGTGGCGTAAAACTTAGAAAACTAAGAAAAGTTCTAAGAGAAAACAAAGAAGAGGAGAGAAGAGGAAGGGTACAAAAGTACGGGGCATAAGAGAAAGAGCAGAAGAGGAATAAGAGAATGAGCAACCCCACTTCACTGGTTTTATCTTCTTACACTGGGAGTGTCTCCGGCGTGTGTGTGAGGAGACAGAGGAGGGGTCGTGGGGTCTCCAAGCAGCGGAGACCTCGGATCTCTGATTATATGATCTAACTTATACTTTTGGCTGGTAAAAGAGTCAGATCTGATACTCACTCACTATGATTAATATCATTGAATGCTTGGTTTCATGATAAATAATTTCATACTAAACACATATGAATGAAGTGTAGGATCATATCAAACATTCTCATTATGTTTTAAGTATCACATTGAACATGCTAAATTACTCTGAAATGAAACAGATAGTAACACATGGAGACTGTGAACACCAAAAGAGTAAATACATGTAAATGAACTTCATCATGATTAACAATGGATTCTAAATACTCACATTGAGATTATTCAATGACATTATAACCCAGTAATGGTTAAAATTACTAAATAAACAACTAAAATATAAACCAAACATTTCTAAACTATTTCTGTTAATTAGAGTTAAATTATGAGTCACAATCAATACATTTAACTCTTAAAAGTTCATGAAACAGTCTGAAAAGCTGTTGGTCTAAGGAAACTAAAGAATAAAGGATTTATTCTGTCAGAGTGATAACTCTGCTTCTGGAGCACATAGAAAAACGGGAAACATCTCATTTTAACACAAATTTCATGATTAGACAGAATAGTACATTGCTGAATGCATAAGATGTCATGATCAGTCATTTGTATTCTTTCACCAAAGGAATGTAGTCTTTATCAGTGTATGGTCGAGCAGGGTTTTACGACCGAGGTCTGGAGGTCAGTGTCCCCCCTTTTCCTGGGGTCCGTATGTTCACACAGGTTAATGTTAATGGGTTGAGGTTAATGTTTATTTAGATGGTCAGCAAATGGAGTCAGTTTGAAAGGTAATAAAAACTCTGTCTCTGTTCTCCGAATCGACCAATCGTGAAGAGTCAGAGGTTTAGTCAACCTCCGGTTGGGTCATCTAGGTAACCTGAAAGTGTAAACGAGTCTGGAAAGATTTATATCCTGTTTCCTGGGACCAGATAAGGAAACTTTCCTGTGAGGAATGTGTGAGTTTCACACCCAGGGTTGTCTTGATTGCTACAGATGTATAGATGAGGTGGGCCTTTAGCCTCCTAACTACCAGCTAGTGTAAGTCAAGCCAGTCATAGCCTGATCATTCCAAATTTGCAACCTTAATACATTCAAAACATAGATGTACAAAAAGTTCCAAATTGTATGTTTTCAGATGGAGAAATAAGCCAAGACCACATAATCACACGCTTTGATTGGATAGTCAGAGAGTGTACTAGCCAGAGCTAGCAAACTGCATCTGTAGCGAGCTGCACAAGCATAGATATTATTGTGTTGATTTAATAGCTGTTTTGTCAACCCACAATGGCTGAAGGAGGAGAAGAAGAAATGGATTTGGTTGCAGATTTACTGTCAAAGCCATTTTCAAGACGGACTTTTCAAGAAAAGCTGGACATTGTTAAGCAAGGTCGGGCAACTCCGAAGCTAGCAAGCCTGTCACAACTGGGAAAAGGATTTGTCCGTCACTTTCAGTCCACTAACTACGAGCGGTACTCCTGGCTCACAGGCTCCGAGGAACGCTGCAAATTGTATTGCTGGGAGTGCTTGTTATTTGCCACTGATCGACATGGTGTTTGGAGCCACACTGGATTTGTAAATTTGACTTGCCTAACCAAGGCAGCAACGAGGCATCAAAGCACTACTGGACACTTACAAGCAACGGTGCTTTCCAAAACCTTTGGGGAAACCAGAGTGGATCTACAGCTGAGCGAGCAAGTGCACAGGGAAACAGAGCCCCACAACGAAAAGGTGAAGAAAAATAGGGAAATCTTAAAAAATAGGGAAATCTCTTCAGACGGAGCACTACTGAAGGCCTACTTGTGAAATGCACGGCCCGCCACTGCCAAGCGTCATGTCTGGAGGAAACCAGGCACCGCTCACCACCTCGCCAATACCATCCCTACAGTGAAGCATGGTGGTGGCAGCATCATGCTGTGGGGATGTTTTTCAGTGGCAGGAACTGGGAGACTTGTCAGGATCAAGGGAAAAATGAATGCAGCTAAGTACATCGAAATCCTTGATGAAAACCTGCTCCAGAGCACTCGAGACCTTCGACTGGGGTGACGCTTCATCTTCCAGCATGACAATGACCCTAAGCACATCAATCAATCAATCAATCAAACTTTATTTATATAGCACCTTTCATGCTTTTAAGCTGCAACACAAAGTGCTTTACAAAGAGGTAAAAACAAACAACGTTAAAAAAAGAAAAAACAAAACAAACAACAGTAAATATAGGGCACTTAAATAGGCATAAAACCCATCCCTTCCCACCCACAGCAGCATATACAGGCATGCACAGCAGCCCACCCCACACACACATACACGCACACACGTATCCACACACCCACACAGTAACTGTCAGTAAAAACATGGCAAGGCACTGATGATTCTGGTAAGGAAAGACCACCTATGGGAGCCGTCCACACCGAGAGGAGCCACAGCCCACCCCCACAGGGAGCACCGCCCCCGAGACCCCCCGACCCAGACAGCCCGGGTGCACCCTGCACATAGTGCAGAGCCCCCTAACCGTCTGGGCCTGGACGATCCCAAGGACCGCGCCCCCCGGGGGCGGACCAGACATACCTCCCAGTGTTGAGGGCCCCCACGAGGAAACTCTGGAGCTAAAAAGACTAGGGCATAGAAGGAATTAAAATAATATTAAAATATCTAAATGACGTAAAAATGTGATAAAAGTAAAGGATAAAATAAACTAAAACCAAATTAGAATAATGTTAGAATATCTAAGTGACATAAAAATGTGATAAAAGTAAAGGATAAAATAAACTAAAACAGTTAAATCAGCTAAAAGCCAAACTAAAAAGGTGGGTCTTGAGCCTCCTTTTAAAAACATCAACAGTCTCTGCGGTCCTGATGTTCTCTGGCAGGCTGTTCCATAACTTTGGGCCATAATGGCTGAAGGCAGCCTCTCCGTGAGTTTTGGTTTTTGTATGAGGAACAACTAAAAGGCCGGCGCCAGAGGACCTCAGGGTACGCGAGGGTTGATAAGATAAAAGCAGTTCAGATAAATAAGATGGGCCAAGACCATTAAGACACTTAAAAACTACTAAAAGAACCTTGAAATCGATCCTGAAACACACGGGGAGCCAGTGCAGGGATTTTAAAACCGGTGTAATGTGCTCCCGCCCTCTGGTCCTCGTCAGCACACGTGCTGCAGAATTTTGTAGCAGTTGTAACATGTGGGTGGTCTTTTTGGGAAGACCAGAGAGCAGGGCATTACAGTAATCTAAACGACTAGAAATAAAAGCATGCATCAGCACCTCCGTGTTGGCCTGAGAGAGAAACGGGCGGACTCTGGCTATATTCTTAAAATGGTAAAAACCTATCTTTGTTATGTTCTTGATATGTGGAATAAAATTCAGCTCAGAGTCAAAAATTACGCCCAGATTCTTAACAGATTGAGCAGGTTTAAAATCTTGTAGTTTTGGTAAAAGTTTCTCTCTCTTGCCTTCAGGACCAATAATTAAAACTTCTGTTTTGTCCTGGTTGAGCTGTAGGAAATTCTCTGCCATCCATGACTTGATATCTAAAATGCAGTTAAAAAGGGCATCAATAGGCCCTGTGTCCTCAGGAGACACGGCAATGTACAACTGTGTATCGTCAGCGTAACTATGGAAGCTGATGCCGTGTCTCCTGATGACGTCCCCAAGGGGAAGCATATAGAGATTAAAAAGTATTGGACCTAAAATTGACCCTTGGGGCACCCCACACTTAATTTCATGAGTTTTTGAGGAACAGGTATCCATACTTACAAAGAAGGATCGTTCCGAGAGATAAGAAATGAACCAGTTAAAAACAGTCCCAGAGAGGCCCACCAGGTGCCTGAGTCTGCTTAATAAAATCTGGTGATCTACTGTGTCAAAGGCAGCGCTTAGATCCAGTAGTACCAGAACTGTGAGTTTCTGTTTATCGGCATTACACCTGATATCATTTAAAATCTTTAAAAGGGCTGTCTCGGTACTGTGGTTCATCCTAAAACCGGATTGATACTTCTCTAAGATATTATTACTTTTTAAGAAATAATTTACTTGGTTAAAAACCAGTCTTTCTAAGATTTTACTTAAAAACGGTAAGTTGGATATGGGTCGATAATTATTAAAAACATCAGTATCCAAATTTCTCTTCTTCAGAAGGGGCCTCACCACCGCCGTTTTAAAGGCAGTGGGGAAGACCCCTGTCTGAAGAGAGCAATTTACTATGGTTAAAATCTGTTCCTCAAAAAATTCGTAAAATGTTTTTAAAAATGATGTGGGAATCGGATCTAAAAGGCAGGTAGTTGGGTTTGCTTGGGAGAAAACTCGACCAAGTGTCCTTGCGTCAACCAGGGCAAAACTCTCCAGTGTTTCCTCAGGTAAAATCAGCTGTTCAGATGTGTTGGAAATCACATTCTGATGAGTTAAAAGACTGGATCTAATATCATCAATTTTGCTCCCGAAGTGGTCTGCAAAGTCCTCACAGAGGGCGTCTGTGGGGGTCTTAAAAGATTTTTTAAAATGGGAGTTTGTTAAGAGGTCGATGGTGGAAAAGAGGAATTTGGAATTGTTTTTATGGTCTGTGATGAGTTTTGAGAAGTGGGCTGTTCTTGCCTTTTTTACTGCATTGTTGTATTTTTTGAGTGAGTCCTGTAGTATTTCGAGGTGAACTGTTAATTTGGTTTTTCTCCATTTGCGTTCGGCACTCCTGCATTTTCTCTTTGTGTTTCTGATTTCGTTGTTTTTTCTCCATGGGGGTAAGGGTTTTGTTTTAATAGTTTTAATTACGGGTGGAGCCACTGTGTCCAATGTGGTTTTTAATGTTCTGTTAAAATGGTCCACAATAAAATCGCATGGTGCAGGTAAAATTGCGGCAGGAGTGCTCTGTAAAATCCCAATAAAATTTGCAGCCACTTCGGGGGTTAGGTAGCGTTTCCTCACCGTTCTCACCGGGGCCTCCTGATGGTTAAAACTGGTGATATTAAAATACACACAGTAGTGATCCGACACAGCCAGGTCGACAACAGAGGACACACCAGTGGATAGGCCGGAAGTTATGACCAAATCCAGGGTGTGCCCTCTGTTGTGAGTCGGCTGTGCCACATGCTGTTTAAAACCCATGCAATTTAAAAGGTTTAAAAACTCCTTAGACATTGGATCAGACGCTGTATCAATGTGCAAGTTAAAATCACCAGTTATTAAAATCCTGTTATGGGTAGTATGTAAAATGGATAATAGATCAGAAAATTCGCTGATAAAAGAGTTGGAGTAGTGGGGTGGTCTGTAAATTGTAATACAGAGAGTAGGAGGACTGCTAAAAACAAATGCGTGGTATTCGAATGATGTAAAACTGTTAAAAGAAACTTCATTTGGGCACAATTTGTTTTTAAATATTGAGGCAGTGCCCCCTTCCTTTTCTACCCCCCCTTGTTGAAAATAAAAAATTAAAATTAGGGGGGCAAGCCTCGGTGAGAACAATTGAAGCATCAGTGCCAAGCCATGTCTCTGTTAAAAGGAGAATGTCTAAATTATTGTCTAAAATCAGATCATGGATGATAAACGACTTATTTAAAAGCGAGCGCACATTCAGCACGGCCATATTAGTGTTTGTGCCGAGCGTGCGCTCATCCTCAGGCAGTGGTGAAATGGGAGCCAATGTGACTGGAGTTAAGTTGATGGTCCGTGAAGGGAATGTTCTGTGGGCTCGGTGTGAGATTCTGACTGGGATGCAGGATATGGGGGTGAACTGTAAGTGAGGTGTTGGTGAAACTGACTGTATGCAGGCAGAGGATGAGATTGGAGGAGAAGTGGCAGTGGTATGGTGTAGTACTGGGGGTGGGCGGTAGGGGGGGCTGGTGGCGGCGGTAGTGGCTTGGGACAGTGACACAGAGGAAGAGGGGGAAATCAGTCACGTGTGTGTGTCAGGTGTGTGTGTAGGTGTGTATGTGGACTGGACAGCATGTCGAATGTTGTCGCCGAGCACCCTGCTGCCCAGGCGAGAGGGGTGGACCCCGTCAGCCCTATAGAACGGGGATCGGTTCCAAAACAAGTTAAAATTGTCGATAAAACGGAACCCGCAAGGGCAGGCGGAATGGAGCCAGGTGTTCAGGCTGAGGAGTCTGCTGAAGCGCCCCATGCCACGGTCGAAGGAGGGGAGGGGCCCCGAGATAAAAACAGACTTACCGTAGTCGGTGAGAACCTTAAAAAGTTTCTTAAAATAGTCCTTGGTCACTTCAGACTGACGGGAGGAAGTGTCGTTAAAACCCAGGTGTAAAACCAGCCTCGTGATGGAGGATGGGAGTGAGCCCAGCAGCTCCGGGAGTTTATGGAGGAGAGTTGGGACAGTGGCGCCTGGGAAGCAGTGGGTTACTGCGTTAAAAAAACGGACGTGCCTCACGATGGAGTCTCCGATGATTGCCGTGGTCGGCGGGAACAGTGGGCGAGGACGCGGCGGTGGCGGTGGTGCGCAAGTGGGGGCCGGAGAACCTCTGTTCCCAGCGGAGTGCCTTCGCAGAGGTTCCCTGAACGGTTTGCACCGGGTCGGGGAGTATGCATGACGGGGGGGAGGAGGGGGGCGCCGAGGCCCCGTGTGCATACCTCCGTTCACCTCCTCGTTCCCTAGCAGAAGATGGAGGTGAGGCTGCGCTTCGTCCGACATCAGCTGGGCCCGGATCTGGCCTTCCTGGCAGCGGAGGAAAATCCGCAACACTGAGTACATCGTACCTCGAGGACAGCTGGAGATCGAAGTGGGATTTCAGTGGTTTCAGGCTGGTCCTCCTCTTTGCAGCCGCTGTTGACCGTGGGGTGGAACTCCGAATGTTGAACCTCGGGTGAGGAGTGAAGTCCAGTGCGGGAGCCGGCACTCGCTTTGGCCTTGCCCCCTGAGTCAGCCAAGGTTCCCCGGGTTGAGGATGAGCCGGCTCAGCAGGAGCCTCCGCGGTGGAAGGTGGGGAGCCAGAGGCAGCAGCAGCGCTCGCTGGGGCCGGTGGAGCCTGCGGAGCAGCGGCTGCCGGGATGGTGGAGTCCAGTTCGGCTGGGTTCACAGGGAGGCCCGCACCCAGCGTCAACATCGAGTCCAGGAGTGACTCCTCGTTGCGGATCCAGTGGAGGCTGGAAATACGTCGTTCCAGCTCAGCGATAGTTTTGGATTTTTTGAGGCAGCTGTTGCACTCGTGTGAGGAGGTGAGTGTTTCCATGGTTTAAGGTTCAGTGAGCAGAGGTTAGCAGCTTTAACCGCCGGCTACATAAAAACCGGCGAATCAGTTCATTTAAAAGCAGCTCAAAATCCGATTTAAAATTCTTGGCCGGTTAAAAGATAGAGTAAAAACTAAATAAATAAAACAACTGAATCCACATGGCCAAGAAGACAAAGGAGTGGCTTCAGGACAAGTCTCTGAATGTCCTTGAGTGGCCCAGCCAGAGCCCAGACTTGAACCTGATTGAAGACCTGAAAGTAGCTGTGCACCGACGCTGCCCCTCCAACCTCACTGAGCTTGAGAGGATGTGCAAGGAAGAATGGGAAAACTCCCCAAATCCAGGTGTGCCAAGCTTGTTGCATCATACACAAGAAGACTGGAGGATGTAATCGCTGCTTCGACCAAGTATTGAGTAAAGGGTGTGAATACTTATGTTTATGCAACATTTGAGTGTTCTTATTTTTAATAAATTTGCAAAATGTTCTAAAAAAAGTTTTTTGCTTTGTCATTATGGGGTATTTTGTGTAGAATTTTTGAGGGAAAAGGGGAATTTAATCAATTTTGTAATAAGGCTGTAACATAACAAAATGTGGAAAAAGTGAAGTGGTATGAATACTTTCCTGATGCACTGTACACTCACCGGCCACTTTATTAGGTACACCATGCTAGTAACGGGTTGGACCCCCTTTTGCCTTCAGAACTGCCTCAATTCTTCGTGGCATAGATTCAACAAGGTGCTGGAAGCATTCCTCAGAGAGCTTGGTCCATATTGACATGATGGCATCACACAGTTGCCGCAGATTTGTCGGCTGCAGATCCATGATGCGAATCTCCCGTTCCACCACATCCCAAAGATGCTCTATTGGATTGAGATCTGGTGACTGTGGAGGCCATTTGAGTACAGTGAACTCATTGTCATGTTCAAGAAACCAGTCTGAGATGATTCCAGCTTTATGACATGGCGCATTATCCTGCTGAAAGTAGCCATCAGAAGTTGGGTACATTGTGGTCATAAAGGGATGGACGTGGTCAGCAACAATACTCAGGTAGGCTGTGGCGTTGCAACGATGCTCAATTGGTACCAAGGGGCCCAAAGAGTGCCAAGAAAATATTCCCCACACCATGACACCACCACCACCAGCCTGAACCGTTGATACAAGGCAGGATGGATCCATGCTTTCATGTTGTTGACGCCAAATTCTGACCCTACCATCCGAATGTCGCAGCAGAAATCGAGACTCATCAGACCAGGCAACGTTTTTCCAATCTTCTATTGTCCAATTTCGATGAGCTTGTGCAAATTGTAGCCTCAGTTTCCTGTTCTTAGCTGAAAGGAGTGGCACCCGGTGTGGTCTTCTGCTGCTGTAGCCCATCTGCCTCAAAGTTCAACGTACTGTGCCTTCAGAGATGCTCTTCTGCCTACCTTGGTTGTAACGGGTGGTTATTTGAGTCACTGTTGCCTTTCTATTAGCTCGAACCAGTCTGGCTATTCTCCTCTGACCTCTGGCATCAACAAGGCATTTCCGCCCACAGAACTGCCGCTCACTGGATATTTTTTCTTTTTCGGACCATTCTCTGTAAACCCTAGAGATGGTTGTGCGTGAAAATCCCAGTAGATCAGCAGTTTCTGAAATACTCAGACCAGCCCTCCTGGCACCAACAACCATGCCACGTTCAAAGTCACTCAAATCACCTTTCTTCCCCATACTGATGCTCGGTTTGAACTGCAGGAGATTGTCTTGACCATGTCTACATGCCTAAATGCACTAAGTTGCCGCCATGTGGTTGGCTGATTAGAAATTAAGTGTTAACAAGCAGTTGGACAGGTGTACCTAATAAAGTGGCCGGTGAGTGTATATACTCAGTAAAGCAGTCAACCTGTCTGTCAATGCTCATACTATCCACATCTGTTTCCAGCAGCACATTCTAGTCTTTTGATTTAAAACAGTCACTTAGAGCTTCACTGGCTTGAGGTGTTCATCCTCTGATTTTGACTTTGGTCACAGGCTGCCTCAGTACACAAGGGGCTCAATTTTAGTGCCTCGCCGGAGACGTGCCGCAGGCGCAGCTTAAGTCAGATCCACCGCGCCGACAAGGCGTTCCCAAGTACAATTTGGTATTTTGGTGAGCGGCATAGCCCGGCGTAAGTATCCCCCCTCCTTAACTCAGCTCCTCCCAGCGGCGTTAGTCGTAGCGAGGGAGGAGAGAGGGCGTGGAGTGGATTTAACCTAGCCGAGACTTGTTTTCACCAATCACATAAGCTCCTCTCCTCGCCTTTAAATCTGCCACTGGCGAGGCGTATTACTATTTCCGTGCAGTAGTCAAAGAGATCAAGAGATGTCTGAATACAGCAATGCCACACAATGGCGACAGAAGGCAGCTCCTCAACAAGTGTCACTGTAAAGGTCCTTACACACCGGCGAATTTGCGGAGCGAAGCGAAAAAGCGAGACGAAAATTGTGAATATTCGCCGGTCCGAAAAATCGCTTTCGCCTATACACACCGGCCGTGAAGCGAATATGCGTATATTTTTTGCAAAGCGAATTAATAAAGTCGCTTTGCGGCACGGACATGACACATGACATCTGTCTCCTAAGGAAGACAAGAGAGTGTCATCTTGTGAGAAAACTACTTCATTAGTAATTCGAAAGAGTTTTGGATGCACCTCAGCTGTCTTTCTCTGCGTTTTCATAATCTCAAACTTCTCCCTCTTCTCCAGCCGTATGGGTCTGTGATGTCATCAACAACATGACTTTTGATTGGCCAGAGGTCTAGCAGGTCTACATATTCGCCTGTGAATATCCGAAAAATTCGACACAAGAGCGAAAAAATAAAAGCAGCTTTTCGCCCCGCGGAAAAATCGCAGCCGATGTGGAAGCTTGCATTGACTTTATGCTGTTTTTAAAAAAGGCGAATAATTCGCTTGGCGAATTCTCGCCTGGTGTGTAAGGACCTTAAGCGCTGCATTGGGCGTCCTCCACACTATTTCAGATGAGCACAGATGGATTTGGTGTGTGTAATGTTGGACCCACTGGTAAGACAAACACCCTTTTCCACAAACAGACACTCACATAAAGTTGCATGTATTTAAACCTCACAAAGGTGGGTTGTGTGCACAAATCACAACATAAACTCCAAAAATGGCATTAAAATCGGAACCATCTGTACTTTTTGGTGGAGTTAGATTGCACCCCTAACATTAACTGAATAATTAATAAATCCATTTTAGGAAAAGTCATGGACTTTAAGATGTAGGGGTTTTATTTTAACAGAAATACAAGCTTTTGAAAACAGCAGGGGGTAAAAATTGTGGTTTGTATTATGAAACAATCTTGGGTAAAAGACACCTCTGAGGAGTTTGAGCAGGCTATGGAAGTAACTAGATTTAACAACAGGCCTCAAACACACCACAGCAACATTAGCCTAAACAACATTATTGTGATATCGCAATTATGTATTAGGGACACCACAAGACAAGTGAAAATAGGATGTTGAGAATAAATGTGTAAATGTTCTTAGAACAAAGTGAAGGGGAGAAATAAAAGTCGGCATTTACATTGGCATTATCTAGTAATGGTGGTCCGTGTCCATGGTGGGCTTCTTTTTTTGGGGGGGTGTTATGAAAAAGGCCTTGATACAAATTGAAGTCTATTCCATAACTAACTAACTAACTAACTAACTAAACACACACACACACACACACACACACACACACACACACACACACACACACACACACACACACACACACACTCTCAAAATGAATGTGTTAAAATCATACACATTTTTTGTGTTATTATATTTTAACATTTGTTATGTTATATTTACACATCCTGTGTTATTATCCTAGACACACTTTTGAGTTAATGCTATTTTAACACATAAAATAGTTATCATGTGAATTAAACACAACATGTGTTAGCCACTGCTAGGTCAAAGAGGTTATTAATGAAAACACCTGCCAGGGTAATTTTTAACCAAGCAGTGGCTTTATTAATTGTCCTACTTTTGAATAATTCTGGAATAATCTATTCTTATAAATTCTGTAAGTTAATTTTTGAGAGGGAGGAAGCCCCTCAGCAGGGGAATCAAACCTCCTAACACCCAGTCTCAGGGTGGACCACAAGGCCACTGAACTGGTATCTGAGACCAGATTCTTGAGTAGCACGGTGCCCTGAAGACAGGAGTATACCTTTCCTCACACACAGACGTATGGTTCTCTTAATTGACTATGGTTTGGGTTGTACTATTTTAACTCAATAAAAATAAAATATTAAGTTCCATTTTGGGGGAAATAAATCCAAATATATAAGTCTTATTTCTGTAGGACCCCCAGCTGATCTGTCCACTTTACTCAGACACCTGGATGGTCCCTGGCTGGGTGACCCTGGGTCATGGAAGCTTGTAGCTCCAATTTAGGGGTGTGGATTGGAGCAATGCACTGAGAAAGTTGCCACATGAACCAGCTCTGGAAAAAAATCATGTTGTGTAATCCCTTCTTTGATCCTCCTGGGGGCAGCACTCGCCACTGCCTTTGATGGCTTTGAAATGCAACAATGGCAGCTGTGCTAACAGCTAAAGGCTAATAATCAAGCTTGCTGAGGAGTTGGTCTGCACTCACAAATGTGTGAGAGGCACATTTACATTTGCAACTCAAACTACACGCCACGGGAGTAACGCCGTTGTAACCCGGCCCAGCGCACAGCCTCGAGCCGCAGGGGACGGTTGTTTGACATGCCATGTCTGTATTTTAGGTCTTCCATTGTTGCACTGATGGTTTAAGAATGAAATGTTTACAAAATGTTTAATGCTTATACTCTGTGATTGCACTATGTTTTGCTCTCAAGTTTGCACTAAAGTCTTACAAAGTCCAAGATTTTGCACTGCTGCCTGAACCAAATAAATTTTTTAAAAGTGACTTGAGATTCAAGCAATTGTTGATTCTTTTTAGTGACCAGGTTTGGTAGTTTAGCAGATAATCGCAGTAGCTCAGGAGGTAAGAGCGGTCGTCCAATAACTGGAAGGTTGGCGGTTCGATTCCCCCCCTATCCCAAGTCTGTCCGTTGTGTCCTTGGGCAAGACACTTAACTCACCTTGCTCCCGGTGTGTGTCCTCCACTGGTGTATGATTGTGAGTGTTGTGTGGTGGTGGTCGGAGGGGCCGTAGGCGCAAAATGGCAGCCACGTTTCTGTCTGCCTCAGGGCAGCTGTGACTATAAGGTAGTTAACCACCACTAAAGTGTGACTGGATGAGCGAATGAATGATATATCCAATGTAAAGCGCTTTGTAAAGCGCAATGCATTTGTAAATTGTATGAAAATAAAACACTTTTGTGTGAAGAATACATAACGCAGCTATGTGTAAATTGAAATAACACATGATGAGTTACTTTTGACACATTCATTTTGAGAGTGCACACACACACACACACACACACACACACACACACACACAAACAGACATGTGTATATATATATATATATATATATACAGTTGAAACCAGAAGTTATAAGTTAACATAGTACTTAGTACTCTACTGGTATTCTGGCCCATTCCTCCTGACAGAACTGGTGAAACTGAGGCTGTGTCTCATTTCAGAGACCGCATCGACCTAAGTGCCCTTCTGCACCGTCGAACGGTGCATTTGAAGTGTGCATGACGTCACGACGGTGCGAACGGTGTCCCGTTTGGCACGAGATGCTAAAAAATGCTAAGCGCGCTTAGCATGTTTTCAAGCGTGCATTTATCCACGCTTTCGTGCCGTCGGTATCCCAGAATCCTTTGCGTGCCGCTGCACAGCTGCGCATTTCAGGTGAGAGGCTGGACTCGCTTGGAGACGCAGCGTGTCCTCAAAGAAATTACAAGCAATCCGAAAACAGCAGACAGTCAGCTCAGGCTGTATGAGAGCATGATCTCTGAACTCACTAAAATCTGTAAACCAAACATTATAGATTTAGAGACGAACTGATCCGCTCTGCTACAACAATCAAAAACATTCGAAATAAGAAAGCTGACAAAACTACAGCAGAGTATCAGGACAACATTGAGGTTTTTTTCTTTTAAGATTTAGAGATTAAAGTTGTAAATTTAGGAGAATAAAGTCATAAAGTAAAAAAAGTCATAAATCTGCTTTTGTGGAGGGGGAAATGACTGAAGCTGGTCATCTGCAGGGTTATCTGTGGATGTATCAGCGGGTCATTCAGAGAGATTTTGTGGTTTCTGAAGAAACAATCAAACTGATGATGATCAACATTTGTGATCCAGAGGGAGTCGAGCTCCGACGAGCACCACGTCTCTGACACCGGCCGTAGCCTACACCTGCAGAGACACCAACACCTTATTATGGCATATGGATTCATATCATAAATTAAAGCTCAATGTCATTCACGGATATTTACGGCTGCATTGACAGATATATCCTCAGCATATTCATTTCTGCCTCCACAAAAGCAGCGATTTCCTTCAAGTACACCAGTTTTTTTCCCCGTGGAAAAGACGTATTTCTCATATATTCTTTTTTTAAAGTCTTTATACTTATGACAATGTGATGCTGATGTGCCAGAGGATGAAGTATCTCCTATCCTCCTTCTCAATAGGGCCCTCATACTCCTTCATACAAAACAATCATTGGATTAATTTTGTGGGAATGATCTGGGCTTGTATGTATCTACTATTTTGTGTATGTGCAAGGTCGCACAATTAAAACAATACATGCTGCGCTCCGCAGCTTTTTTTCTAATCAGTCGTGACGTAAGCCTGAGGGCGGGGACATTTGGAGACCTTCGGAGGACTTCCTGGTGGAGTTGCCAAATGTCCCCGCCCTCAGGCTCGCGTCACGACTGACTTAAAGGAAACCCGCGGAGCGCAGCATTTATTGCTTTAATTGTGCGACCTTGCACAGACACAAAATAGTAGATACATACAAGCACAATTCATCCAATGATTGTTTTGTAAGAAGGAGTATGAGGGCCATATTGAGATTTAAGACTTTAAGGACTTCGAGATTTAAGTCGTGAATTTACGAGAATAAAGTCATTAATTTATGAGAATGAAGTCATAACCTGTTATTTCAGAGAGACTTGTTAAAATTAGGGCCATGAAGCATTTGAAGGAACTGTGCTTCAGTATAGGTTTCACAAACAAGGAGATTCTTCATCCTCTGGCACATCAGCATAACATTGTCATAAGTATAAAGACTTTAAAAAGAATATATGAGAAATACGTCTTTTCCACGGGGGAAAAATATTGGTGTACTTGAAGGAAATCGCTGCTTTTGTGGAGGCAGAAATGAATATGCTGAGGATATATCTGTCAATGCAGCCGTTAATATCCGTGAATGACATTGAGCTTTAATTTATGATATGAATCCATATGCCATAATAAGGTGTTGGTGCAGGTGTAGGCTACGGCCGGTGTCAGAGACGTGGTGCTCGTCGGAGCTCGACTCCCTCTGGATCACAAATGTTGATTATCATCAGTTTGATTGTTTCTTCAGAAACCACAAAATCTCTCTTAATGACCCGCTGATACATCCACAGATAACCCTGCAGATGACCAGCTTCAGTCATTTCCCCCTCCGCAAAAGCAGCTTTATGACTTTATTTACTTTATGACTTTATTCTCCTAAATTTACCACTTTAATCTCTAAATCTTAAAAGAAAAAAAAACCTCAATGTTGTCCTGATACTCTGCTGTAGTTTTGTCAGCTTTCTCACTTCTAATGTTTTTGATAGTTGTAACACAGCGGATCAGTTCGTCTCTAAATCTATAATGTTTGGTTTACAGATTTTAGTGAGTTCAGAGATCATGCTCTCATACAGCCTGAGCTGACTGTCTGATGGTTTTGGATTGCTTGTATTTTCTTCGAAGACGCGCTGTGTCTCCAAGCGAGTCCAGCCTCTCACCTGAAATGCACAGCTGTGCAGCGGCACGCAAAGAATTCTGGGATACCGACGGCACGAAAGCGTGCATACATGCACGCTTGAAAATGAGGCGGGGGTAGTGTGGTTTTGAGACCGAATTTGAAGCGCGCTTAGTATTTTGTGCCAAACGGGACACCGTTCGCGCCGCGTGGTGACCTCACGTACGTGTCAGATGCGCCGTTCGATGGCTGCTGTATCTGAAATGGGACACAGGAAGGGCACAGAACGGCGCAAAACGGCGTAAAACGGCTCAAAACGGCAGTGCACTCAGCTAAGCGCCGTTAAGCGCGCTTATCACGATGCGGTCTCTGAAATGAGACACAGCCTGAGTCAGGTTTGTTAGCCGCCTCACTCGTACATGCCTTTTCAGATCTGCCCACAAATTTTCTATGGGATTCAGATCAGGGCTTTGTGATGGTCACTCCAAGACATTGAATTTGTTCTCAAGCCACTTTTCAACTGTTTTGGCAGTATATTTAGGGTCATTGTCCATTTGGAAGACACATTTGCACCCAAGTTTTAGCCTCCTGGCTGATGTCTTAAGATGTTGCTTTCATATTTTCACGTCATGTTCTTTCTTCATGATGTCGTCTCTTTTAATGAACAGCTCCAGTTCGCGCTGCAGCAAAACAGCCCCATAAAAGAGTATCTGCGTTAAGAACCCAGATGGAAAAAGGAGTCCACTGTAATTTAATTTGAATCAGTAATCATCTTTGTAGTGAGTATACAGAGTAGCATAAAGTCTTGTGGTGGCATTTAAATTACACCTGCACATTAGAAAGTTAGGTAAACTTGAAAGCATACCTGTAATTGATTAGTTGCCTCATGCTGAGTGGCCAAACAGTGTAAAACTTCTAAATATGTATCCAACCTCATCCCTGATTATAACTTCTGGTTCCAAATGGAAGATAACTTTGTCCATAATGCAGAACATGAGCCTTTAAAGATGGTTTCACAAATAAATTGTAAAATCATGGTGCCTAGATTTCCTACCATGTTGTCTCCTGATGGTTATATGATGATAAGGGAAAAAGACATCTAAAAGTTTTAGAACAAACAGATTTTTCCATAACTTATCACTGTGTAAAACATACAGCTGCAAATCTTCATTTTCATGGTGAATAAATCTCTCATATATTAATGATCTTTTTCACTGATCTCTCAAAGTTTGTTGAATTTAAAGCAGATCATGTGTTTTGCACCACAGGATATTGCTAGAAAAGACTTACTTTTCTGTACTTTGTTCCCACTTTTTTTTTCATGTTCATGTCCCTGATTTGCATTCTGTCGTTAATGAAGCACATTAAAATATTTTAATAATAATCCCATTACCTAAATACAGCTTATTACTTTTTTTGACCTTTGATGATGATGACTGAGATATCACCATGATGATGGTTTGCGGGTACATGTGTGATGAATTGAAGCCAGAGTGTGTACTCTAAATGAGCCTTGCTGCTCTGAGGATCACTTGCCTAACTTTTTGAACACGCCAAAAGAAAAGAACTGAGAGAAATTTGGCAAAATCTGACTTTCTTCTATGACACGTTTTTTTTTTTTGATGTGCAAAGATTAATGGAGCAGACAGAAGAGTGATAAGAGATCAAACTGACTGTAGAAATTATTGGATTTGGTTGGATCAATCTTGTGCCTGTGCATACATCTGTCCACCAGCAGCACCATGGCTGAGCATAGAGTTATAAATTAAGCTAGATGTGTTTGACCCCCACTGTTCAGTGATGTAAAAGCTCCCAGGAAAAAAAAAGGAATATACTGTAAATTACATAAATATCAATCTGTAACAGACGGGAGCATTTTTATGTAAAGGATAATATTGTAAGTTATCAGAATAACAGCGTTAAACATGAAATTAATTAAATAAAAAAGGCGCACTAAATGTATTGTCTGCGGCAGCGGAAACATGAGCTGGTGGGTAAAACAATCTGGCTGTGAGATAATGAGACGCACACAGAGTAGATGTGGAAGAAGAGATGAATAGATAACAAAATTACCTGAAATATTTATAACCTCTCTCTCTTTCATCACTGCTTTCCTCATAAACCATTAAAGGGCCCTTTTGGGACCTCTTAATTGAGTTCCTTTTCGAAACAGAATATGAAAGACTTCTTTTTATTCTCCCCCACCCCTTTTTATCTGAGGAATGGGCTGATTAAAACACGAAGAATGGAAGTTCTAGTGGGAAAGTTCATTGCAATCAGGGGTGCAACTTGAGTGATTGACTCAGTCTTCTGTAAGACATTAAGTCGACACAGTTATTGAGCCTGGACCCTCTGACAAATGCAGCATAATACGTATCTCTGAATCTGCAGCCAGCTAGTGTTTCACATATTGAGGTCATGGATTGTTTCAGAGAATTTGAAGCTTTAGCAACCTCAGAAGAGTTCAAATTCTTCAATAAAAATGTCAACGTAAATTACCTCAAAACTTACACTTAAAGTCAATGGGCTCTATTTTTGTGCTTCCCCAGAGATGTGGCGCAGGCACGGCGTAAGTCAGGTCCGCCACACCAACAAGGCGTTCCCAAGCACAATTTGGTATTTTGGTGAGTGGCGCAGCCCGGCGTAAGTATCTGCCCTCCCTAACTCAGCTCCTCCCAGTGGCGTAAATCGTAGCGAAGGAGGAGAGAGGGTGTGGAGTGGGTTTAACACAGCCAAGACCTGTATTGACCAATAACATCAGCTCCTCTCCTCGCCTTTAAATCCGCCACTGGCGAGGCGTATTACTATTTTCGTGAAGTAGTCAAAGAGATCAAGAGATGTCTGAAGACAGTAATGCCACACGATGGCGACAGAAGGCAGCCCCTCAACAAGTGTTGCTGTAAGCGCTGCAGAGGGCGTCCTGCACACTGTCTCATATAAGCTCAGATGGATTTGGTGTGTGTAATGTTGGACCCACTAGTACGACAAACACCCTTTCCACAAATAAAGACACTCACATAAAGTTGCACATATTCAAACCTCACGTGACAAAGGTGGGTTGTGCGCATAAATCACATCATAAATTCCAATAATGGCATTAAAAACCACCTGTGTGTAAATGACACATCGCGCTCCATGGCTTGGCTCTTTCTTTCATAGATGTTGGAATATAAAATAAATTTGGCTCACAAAACTGAATATTATAATATTCGTATGTAGGCTTAAAGTAAATAACTCATCGGATCACCGAAACAAATCATCTGTTCAGCCGCTGCAGCAGGACGGGGAGAGGACACAGAGACATGTCCAGGTCCGGCTGCGTGAGAAATAAGAGGAAGAAAGAAAATGAGGGAGACGAATTACATACCTTGTTAACTCCATCATGTGTGTCTATTTATTAGATATTTAGTTTAATTTAATGCGGTTTAAGCTGTGTTGATTCGGTCAGGTTGTGTGTCCAAACACGTGCCAAACGCACTCATCAGATCAGATATAGATCAGAATATATCTATATAGATCTAAATGTATGTGCTGACTCAGATTTTTTGTTGTTGATGATTATTTATTGCACTGAAATGTACCTGACACTGTGGAAACCTGCCGGTGAGGCATTGGTGACGTATGCCAATACACCGCAGGTCTACCAAAATACCGGTAGACCAGCTGTGTTCCACCTGCGCTGAAAGCTGACCAGGTTTGAATCGGTGAGCTTTCAGCGCACTTTACACGCCGGCGGCTGATTCTATCGACACCTCCCCCTGCCACGCCACCACGGCCAGTTTGGTGGACCTCGGTGCGCCTCAGTCTACGAAAATACCAAACTGGCTGTACGTCAGGCTCCGCAAGACAAAAATACCACTGCGCGGGGTCCGCCACCCTCTGCCGCCTCACCGGCGAACACGAAAATAGAGCCCAATACCTTTAGATTTGACTGCTGTGGATTAAATAAACATATGGACACAGCTTATTCTCCTGCAACTGAAACATCTCACCAATGCCCTCAAGAGTATCTATCTATTTATATATATATATATATATATATATATATATATATATATATATATATAGATAGATAGATAGATAGATAGATATACATACACACACACACACACACACATATATATACATATATATGTATATTTATATATATAGAGAGAGAGATTTAAAAAGAGGAGTAATTTCTAGTGTGCAAAAAACACAGCTTGCAACTACTAAATATATACTTTTTTTTTATACAGATTGGGAACCTTTACATAAATTTTGTTTACCTTAAAAGGATATTCTGTTGTAAAATTAAGTTAGGGTCAAACACACAATAACACTGAGTTAGACACCCCGTCGAGAGATGAATGTTCCCGACCGCTTGCTTCTCTAGTTCTACCAACTTTCATAACAACCGCACAATAGCAATACACAGCGGTCTATGGATCCATGTGCACACCTCAACCAAAAAGCCACTCTATCGCCACAGTACATATTAACAGCACAAGAAACCAGGCAAAGCATATATTGCTTTGCTACACAACTCACCCACTCTCTTGCAGCAGCTGCTTGTTTGTAGGGAAAGCTCGGGGTGACGCAGCTCCAGGAAGAACATTTATGATCACTTCTTCATGGAAATGCAATCAGACCGAGGCAGAATAACTACCGTGTCTGCAGTGCAAAATCATGATTATGATGATTATGACTTCAAGGAAATGATCCGCTGCACTTGGTGATTGACTCGTCAAAGCTCCCCCACAAACACCAAGTTAGGTGCTGTTCTGTGCATTATTTGTGGCTATAGAGCGGCATTTTGGTTGAGGTGTGTGCGTGGATCCATAGACCGCTGTGTATTGCTATCATGTGGTCGTTACTAAAGTTGGTATAACTAGAGAAGCAAGCAGTCAACAACATTCATCCCTCGAGTGTAACTCGGTGTTAAGGTGTGTTTGACCATAACTTAAATGTACGCAGAAATTCCCCTTTAAATCCATCTGCACATTTTGGTAAGAGTCTCATCTTTATGAGAGTGGGTAATGGTGCTCATGGGAAATGCAGTTTTCTGCAAAGGCACGTCCAGGTTTGTCCAAAAGGGACCCCCAAATTAACACTAAACCTCTTCATTGTGCCTTTAAGAGTGTAATGTTTGGTTAGACAGTGTATTGACATCCAGGCAAGAAGTGAAAAAAAGCGCAAACAATAATGAAGAGCACTACTTCATGTAAATTATGAAGAGGTTTATTTGTTTACTGCAATTGCACACAGTCTAATGTCTGATCAGAGATTTGGAAGTTTGTGAGCCGCTCCTTCATTCTTATGAATTTACACCACATCTTTCTTCCAATCTATCACAAGCTGCGTTTCCATTACCCATAGATTTGCGCAAAACGTAAATATCGCAATAGAAAACTGGTAATGGAAACACCTACATTTCGAAAAACCTCCCAAATATCGCTAAAAAGTTTTTACGCTCTCATGAGGTGGTTTTTCAGACGTGTCGATATAGAAGTATATCGCAAAAGTGTAATGGAAACACTTTTCTCGCAATTCTCTGTCACCGGACGTGACGTAGCGGGTCAAGTGACCAGTTCATTTCAAGCGTAGATGGCACGGTATATGTGGACGGGGGAGGAGACGGACTTATTTCTGAAGTTTTGAATTGTATTTGTATTTTTCTGAAGTTTTGAATCCACAATTAGTCTGTGAATTCCTCATTAACGATCCTCTCCCAGAAATCCCTCATCCGTGTTCGCTCCCATACATACAAGCTTTGCCTTTGAATTATCACCCGCTGCCTTCGTCTTCTGATGACAGCAGCGGCAACAGCAGTAATGGTCACAGAAATAGCTGCTCCAAAACACAAAATGTTTTGTGTCTCGTCCATGTTGGTGTGCAAAAAGGCTTAAGGAATACGAGGTCGCACGGGCAGGAAGTTTACCTCGTTGCTAGGCAACGGCCATTTAAACACGGCTCGCGAGAGGCAGACGGCTCGCTTATGCACTGAACACCATTCAATGGAAACACCCGCAAATCGCAATTGTACTTTGTCGAAATTTGATAAACATCGCTTTTATTTTGCGAAAAAATGTAATGGAAACGCAGCTACAGAGTCATCTGACTGTAATTTTATTTTGCATACTCGGCCTGAGAATGAATCATTTACCTCTGACTGATGAAAGAGCAGCAATTCCACTCGCCTGCTTTAAAAGTGGAAATGAAGAGTCGAAGTATTGGAAGCAATAGTTTGACTGATTAATCACTGCTTGCTCTGCCATCTACAAATGCTGAGCAGATGGTTTGGCAGCACTAAAATTAAACTGCTAACAAATACGCAGGTTGTGTTGTGGGTGTGACCTTAGTGGCAGCCACTGTGCTGTTGTCGAGCTCCTCTATTGTTCTTCTACCTCTGAGTTAGCAGAGGTGGCTGCTGCATTGTGCTGAAGTGCAGGCGCATTGTGTGACAAGTGTGCACCTGCATATATGCAGGCGACACAGAGGGAGCAGACTGTGACTTTCCTGAGGTGAGAGATCAGGATTATTTCATACTGCTTTGATGAGATCTGAAAAAAACAAAAGTGTTTGTCGAAGTGATTTATTACTGTGCTCAAATAGGGAAGAAAAACAACTCCAATTCCTTGTTGGCAGCAAAGACACCTTTGAAAGCATGCTTCTCTCTTTCAACACAGCATATGGGAATAAGAAATGTGTCATCACAGAACTCAGATGTTTTTGTACATAAAATATAAAAAAGGCACTGAATGATGCTCTTTAGTCTGGAACATCAGCAAAAGCATCCATCCATCTGAGTGGATGTGTCTGAAGACAATCCCACAGTGGATTTACTGTGCAGGAGAGTGTATGGGTGATACAACAAAATGAGAGGCTCAACTCTCCATAGATCTCATTAGACCGGTCATAACATTGCAACAATAGAAGAAGGCATATTCATCTGACTGCTGTTTTTCCCTGTGCGCATTCCCAAAGCATTAACATCAGCTCTTTTGCACCGTTGCTGGCTTTGGTTAAAGCTACAAAACAGTGCATGGCTGAGAGTGGTCTGCTGATTGATCATTAGTCTCTTTTACTGCACGGCACCTGTTTTTCTGCCTCTGATTCATGCTCAATGGTGGGAAAGATACGCATATTTGGAAGAACATATGCCTGATTTAAAAGGGTTTGAGGCTTGTGGTAAGATAAACCAGAAAGTTACCTTGACGGCTTTTTTGATGCATGAGCCACTTTTTATTATTTGGTGGGTTCATTTCCAATAAAACACAGGATTAACCTCCTTTGATCATGCGTGAGCTTATAATTATTAAACAGAGGGTGGTAACCTTGATCAGAGCATAACCCTCAAACCTGATGGAGAAACATCATTAGTCTTTCCCAAAATTAAACAAATACCATCCAGACAGTTTCTGCAACAGGGTGTTGGGGGGGGGGACCATCATATTTATGCTTTTACTTGCTAGCACTGATACAGCTATGCTGTATATTCTCCATATTAATGAATCTTTCTATCACAGTAAAACAGATTATCTCAGCTCTGCATTTATTACGAACAGCAGTACAAAGGCAGCATAGCGGCAGAGCAATTATGAGCTGTGAATTGAAATATAGATCCACATCATCACAACGTGAAATTGTCAACAACATTATGCTCAGTCTGCGGGGAAATGATATGGGTTTCGGTGGCTGTGTGTCTTTTAATGTCTCAATTGCTTGCTTTTTTTTTCTAACAATAACTTAATGTTACATGAAATGAAACAAACTGACAGGAAATGTAGACCTTTAATCCCTTCCTTCCCCTTACTTTATTTATGTGTCCTGATTCGTTTTAGGACATAGTTCCGCCAAGCTGGGCATGGTGGCGTAGCAGGGGGAGGTGTCGACACAATCAGCGCAGTAACATTTTTGTGCCTGCTGCCGCCGCGTAAAGTGCGCTGAAAGCTCGCCGATTCAAACCTGAGCTGCGTCCGAATTGCCAAGTAGTAGTCGAAGTAGTAGTCGAAGTAGTATCTAGCATGTCCGAATTGGCCACCGGAGCGAGTAGCATGCTACTTCAGATACTACTTCAGATACTAGACACGCCCACATTGTAGGTTGGTCTCGGTGCATCCTACGGGCATGCTACTGACCCAAAATGCACCGCGGGCTTCTTCTTCGTCCTCTCAAAAGTTGTAGAAGCGCATGTGATGCTAGCGCCACCAGCTGCTCTGCCTATTTAAATGTGTCGCGAACGCCGGCTGGCCACAGCAGCGCGCACCATGTCGGAGCAGCAGCAGGCGGGACCGCAGCAGTACAGATGTAAGTTTCATGTAACTTCACACACTGTCCTAAAAAATGTGCGGTTGTATCTCTTTGTCATGTCATGGTGTCATATTTGCCCAAGTAATCATTTTATGAGCAAATATGTGGCGACATCATGGAAGTAAAGCTCACTTATTCCATCATTGAACTGCACAGCTGCAGTACTACAGCCAGGCCCGCAGATGAGGGGCTTCAGTTACCACTGTCTGCACGGGCGCAGTACCTACTCTCTGCCTGCGGGGGTCGTCTTTCCCCACCGCTCATCTAGTGTGTCCGAATTGGGCCAACGTGTTTAGTATGTAGGAGTAGGATCTAGCAGTAGTATGTAGCAGTAGCATGTAGTATCCGAGCGGGCAATTCGGACGCAGCACTGGTCAGCTTTCAGCACAGGCGGAGCGCAGCTGGTCTAGTGGTATTTTGGCAGACCAGCTGCGTATCGGCATACATCACTGATGCCTCACCGGCAGGTTTCCACAGTGTCAGGCACATTTCAGTGCAATAAATAATTAACAACAAATAATCTGAGTCAGCACATACATTTAGATCTATATAGATATATTCTAAACTATATCTTATTTGATGAGCGTGTTTGGCATGCGTTTGGACTCTCAACCTGACCGAATTAACATACCTGAAACCGCATTAAATTAAATTATATATCTAGTAAATAAACACACATGAAGTTAACAAGATATGTAATTTTGTCTTTCTCCTTTTCTTTCTTCCTCGTCCTCTTACTTCTCATGCAGCTCGACCTGGACATGTCTCCATGTCCTCTCCCCCTCCTGCTGCGGCTGAACAGATGATTTGTTTCAGTGTTCAGATGAGTTATTTACTTTAAGCCTACATGCGAATATTACAATATTCAGTTTTTTTAGCCAAATATATTTTATATGCCAACATCTATGAAAGAAAAAGCCAGGCCACGGAGCACGATGTGTCATTTACGCACAGATGGTTCCGATTTTAATGCCATTTTTGGAATTTATGTTGTGATCTGTGCACACAACCCACCTTTTTTATGTGAGGTTTTAATATATGCAACTTTATGTGTGTCAAGTCCCCACAGTTTTCAGTTCCAAATGATCCAGGACAACTCGATTTCCAACTCAATCAACTTTTTTATTTTCCACTTTTCATTTGGCGTACGGCGACGCTGAAATCGTGCACTCAAAAGTTAACAATCTGGGTACGCGCATCGGCGGCGCGCAGAGCAGAAAAACGCAGCCTCGCTGCAATCCAAAACAATGATCCACGTGGTCTAGGCTCACACACATACGTATGCAGCAGCAAAATCAGCGCTTTAACAAGAGCTCATATCATCAGAACATGAAACAGAAATACATCAAACGCCCAGTTCAGCAATTTCAAAAATGCATCAGACATACATTAAGCAATCAATCCAGTAATTTCAGCAAGCATAGCATAGATCTTAAGAAGTCTAAGTTGGGAAAGTTGGGTTTCTCACTAGTTTGGGAAGATAATCTTAAAGTTGTCTGTTAGTGTTTCCAGAAGTCGTTTGAAATGAGCCTCGCACGGCCGCACCGAATAATATGTAGCGATTTGAATTCAAAATATATGTCGAAAATTAATCAAATTAAGTTATGACATTTATGCACTCGTTGAAGGGGCACCACCCACCTTTCTGGTGGGAAAAGGACGAAACAAAGTTCAATTGAGTAATTAAACGTTGAATCAGTCTTAAACAGATTTAAATCAGTCTCTCGTCTGAGGCCGGAATTCTTCATTCAGGGACTACTTTCTGGAAAGACCACTAAGAGACGACAATTTAAAATTAAATGGACAATTTATTAACAAGCTATATGATAACAAAACGTCAATAAATGATGATCAAATAATGAGAAAATCAAAGCACATCTAATGAATAAACGAAGGAATGGTTTAAATTAAACCTAAGACTGGAGGTTAATGATAGTGAGTGAATAAGGGAAAACTTAACCTACGTTAACGGAGTTACGAGGGTAAATTTAAAAGGAATTTAGAGAACTAAACTATAACTATGAGAGTAAGCTACTGAATGGCTGACGGCATCACCCAGTTCTCATCACAGCAGTTTCGAGGAGTTTGCCTACTTTGGATGTCGGTTCTCAGCGGCACTCTTGGAATGGATCAGCTGAAGTTCTGTGGCTACCGGACCGGAACTGAAGATTCGGCGGGGAGTTCTTCCGCCGTGTCTGGATCTCAGCTTCAGGACCGTATCAGGGTCGTTAGATACTTCAGATCTCTGGGCCTCTCGGAACCAGGTGGCAAAGCAGCTCGGCAGATGATGCTGGTCGGCGTTCAGGACTAGCTTGGTTGCAGATTAACTCGCGCCAATAACTTAAGAAAATAATTTTGCTGGCCAGCCGATATTATCTTCAGGAGTCACTTTAGCGAACAAAAATAAAATAAAAGACTTAGACTGAGGTTCTCTATGTGCGCAGCTTGTTACTGATGCTTTAAAGGAACTTGGGTATGGTTTCATCCAAGTTTCTGGAAAAGTCTGAGCTTAAGGCAATTAGTAAAAATGAGAAAATTGCAAACGATGGACGAAGACAAAAGAAAAGCTAAGAACAAGACAAAGGAACTAAAACGAAGACAAAACAAGACTAAGACAAAAAGCAAGACTGGAACGAAGACTAAGACAAAAGACCAAGGGCGGCCAAAGCTCAACTCTTTTTAAGCAGTTCACGTGGGCGTGAACTAAGAGGGAGGGGGCACATCCAATCGTTGTTACCCAGTGCAGCCCATCGACTGGCAGCGAATTAACTCAACTTGATATTAAAAGCGAGCTAGATCTAATTTACTCACTCACTATGATTAAACTGTTTGTAACATCACATACGATCACATTTCACTTCATTGTTTCTTATGAGCAGATGCATTAAAGCATGGCACTGAAAACAGTAAACTTTTGAAAAATGTAATAATTTTGAGATAAATGATGGTCGCACCACATGACATTTTTTAAGGCCACGGGCAATTCATCTACATAAAAAAAAAAAACACTAAAATTGCCTAACTTAAAAATTTAACGTTAATTTTTGTATACACAACATCCTTAGTGTTTGAACTGTTGCAAAAGATATTCTTATTTTTGGTATTTTAAAATTGGCATGAAAAACCTTATACGTCATTGACCCATATGCTAAAAATCACAAAAACACCTCAACGGTCAACAGTTTAATGATATGTCAACCTAGATATTAAAAGTATCAATATCGATATTGGCCCTATATTTACTTGGTTTCGGATCAATACCAAATCTTGCACTATGGCCCACCACTACTAGCTTCTGGTTTGGTTTTCTGGTTAGTTTCTCAACAAAGCTGACAAGGGAATAATACACTTACTCTTGCCAAGTACGTAATGTAACACCCTCAAGACAGAAAAAAAGTATATTTTCTTAGAGCCAAGTCAGACCTTATTTGAAAAGTCATATATATATATATATATATATATATATGTGTAATATGCATATTATCAATCATCTGCTAACCCCACAAAACCTGCTCTGTCAATATATGCACTTTGTGTCAAATCCTGTTTGGCTTCACTGATCAATAGCAACCAGAAAGCCACATTGAGTGTAAACCAGTGTCTGTTCTCCCAAAATAATCTCAACAAGTCTTTGAAGAGAAACATCCTCCATGCACCAGCTGACCTCACAGTGCCTGTGTTTCATATGGCATCTGCCACCATGCTTGTGTTCAGCTCATTGTTTGGTGAAGCTTGAGGCTCACTTGGTAATCATTCTGTGAACAACAAGGGAGCTTTATGAGCCTTATGCCAAAGCTGCTTAAATAAGTTTTTAGGATGGAGAATCCATGCATAAAGCATAGGCTGCTGTCCTTTACGTGAGCTGCTGTGAATGTCACATGCTGGCATGCTTGGCACAAAGTGTGTGAACACGGCAGCAGAGGCAAATGAAAACTGGCGTTTGACCCAAATACCATGGGAGATATGGTAAAAGGGCAAAATCAGACACACACTGGTTTTCAGTGGGTAACAGGGAGCTTTATAAAGAAACAAACATACTGAGAAACTGCTGTTTTCATGTGAAACAGCCCCCATTGTACATCCAACTCTGTAACTCTTAACTACAGGCATTTACAGCTTGAAACCTGACTCCTTTTTTATCAGTCGACTACCTGCCAGTCATCTCACGTTCTCTAAAAACTTGCTTTCTCCTCTTCGTCACTTTACCGCTCCCCCTCCCTACATCTGCTCTGATAGGGTCACTGCAGTTGGAAGGAAAACAGACCCAGCAGTGGATTTTCAATTGAATTGTCAGAAGCTGGCTGTTTTAATAAATCCTGCCCAATAAAAGGGCAGAGAACCTCTTGTGAAGTGGCTTCACCCAGAGCACTCTGCTTGGGTGCTCGCCGCAGAACCTTGTCAGCCAGAACCAACTTCTGCAGGATAAAAAGCACCTGGCAGGTCTTCGCTGGATAAGGGACACCATGAAGAACAAAGAATAGATGACTGTGACCACATTTAAAGGTGGGGTAGGCAGGATTCTGTTAAAGAAGCATCTTTTTTGTGGCGCATATACAAAAAAGCTTTTATATCAGTCAGTAGCTATTAGTTATTGATGACATTTGGGAATATCATAATATCGCTGTGTTCTCCCACATCCGTGTTGTCAACATTTTAAAATTTCAGAGTGGCCCACTTTTTTTAATTTTTTTTTAAATTATTATTATTATTTTATTTTTTTAATACTTTATTTTCAGTTTTAAACTTTACAAAACTGTACAGGACAAACAATGGTAAAGAAACAATCAAAAGGAGGAAGAGAAGAAGAGAGAAAAAAAAAAGAGAGAAGGGCTGCCAGACAATTGTAGTTTTACATTAATTTTCAGAAAAAAGAAACAGTTGCATTTGTTGAACCAAGTACCATCATATGAAAGATTAAGTCAGGTGTCACACCTGACACTGAGCCAGGAAGGGTCCCCAAGTTCTCTCAAATCTGTTCGGATTGTTGGGTTTGTGCAAGCGCAGTCTTTCCATTTGAATAATCGACAACATCTCGTTGAGCCAGTGAGCAAAGGTGGGAGGAGTGCTAGACGTCCAAGTTAAGAGAATAATCTTCTTGGCCACCACCATCCCTAGGTTCACAGCAACTTGAGTGTCATGCGGAAAATCAGAAGTCTCAGTCGAGCATCCAAGGATGGCCAGGGCATGGTTCGGCTGAATGGCTCTGGAGTAAGCTTTGGACAAATGTTCAAATATAGCTGACCAATAGTTGTGCAACTCGGGACATGACCAGAAAAGATGCGCTAGTGAGCCCTCAACAATATGACACTTATCACATACAGGGGACACAGATGGGAAAATACGATTTAGTTTTGTTTTGGAGTAGTGCAATCTGTGCAACACCTTGTACTGAATTAACCTGTAACGTGAGTTAATAGAACAACAATGGACTTGAGACATTGCATGCATATTTCAGAGTTCAAGTCCCTGGACCAAGCTTCCCTAATAAAATCAGAGGAAACTGACTTAGTAAATGAACCCACAAATTTCGATATTAACTGTTTGGAGCCTGGAGGGAGCTGGAGGGTCTCAAGGATGGGATGGGTGGTGGGGGTGGAATTGAGATGTGGCCAATTCTCCTTAACATAGTGTCTGACTTGGAGGTAACGAAAAAAAGTGAGAATTTGGAAGATTAAATCTTTTGCTTAGCTGAACAAATGATGCCAGTTGACCGTTAATGTACAGATCTGAAAATGTTTTAACACCCTTCTCCCTCCAGACCGCAAACACTCCATTCAACCGGGCAGGCAGGAAAGAATGATTTTGACATATGGGTGCATGTACGGAGACACCGGGAACCCGGCACGCTGCTTTTATTTGCTTTAAAATGCGTAAAGAATTCTTCACGGTGAAGTTATGTTTAAGTAGTTTCACTACTGGGGCGGGGTCAGAAAACAAAAGTGCATGAAGTGATGACATGTCAACTGCGGAGGCTTCCAACTGTAACCACAAAGGGTTCTCCTCTGGTTTAACACTTCCACCCTTCCAGTAAGAAAGGGCCCTGGAGTTGGCTGCCCAGTTGTTATGTTTAAAAACAGGCAGTCCCAGACCACCATTCCTGGAAGGTTTTTGAAGGTGAGCCTTAGATATCCTGTATGATTTGTAACCCCGCACAAAGGGCAATACGATAGAGTCAAGCTTCTTAAAAAACGATGTATTTAAGAATATAGGCAAGTTCTGGAAGAGGTATAAAAACCTGGGTAGGCTCACCATTTTGATGGTGTTTACCCGGCCGATCATAGGGGCAATATTCTCCAGGACTCAATATTTGTTTTAAGTTTTTCTATGGATTCTGTAAAATTAAATTTAAAGGCAGAGACCCATGAAGAGTTTACTGTATTTGATTTTAACTGTACCTAAGAATTGGAACTGCATTACTTTTAAATAAAAATGAACCTTGTAGGCTCTGGGTCATCACTCTTGGCTATTTCAACCTATCAGACTAAAGATTAAAGATACAGTTGTGTTCTACTGTAGGACATGCGGACTGGATTACTGCATCACATCACTGGAGTGCACAGTTGTGTCCTTGGGCAAGACACTTAACCTACTATGCTCCCAGCCTGTGTCCTCCACTGGTGTATGATTCGTATCTAAGTTGCTTTGGATAAAAGCGTCTGCTAAATGGTATTGTAGTCTTGTAATCATAGTAAACAATCATATAGAGACGAATGTCTGTCTATATGACAGGCTTTAGTTACCAAAAATCCCATTGAAGACATCTGATTTTCGGACCCAACCATCTCTAATGGAAAAAATGGAGCAAAGCTTGTCCTGCAATCATTAGCAAATCAGCTGGGGGCAGGTCTGGGTTTTTGATCACTGTTAAGTGACCATGGTCATGTGACAATGAAAGAGAGAGTCACTGCAAGGTGGTCAGATTCCATTCTTGTTCAGGCAAAGGGCTGCAGTGGTTTTAGTTTGGACATAAATAGTAGATCGATTCAGGACAATGAGGAAGTGTTGACAGCATGATGTGCTTCTGGTCTTTTCTTATGAATCTTTTTAAATATTGTGGAATAAAGTCAAAGTCAAATTTAACTCCAGTAATCATTTCTATGTAAAGAGGGACTATTACATCTAACTCTGAACACAGTAGAGAGAAATGGTTGCTGACTTTTGTACATGCAGTGTATATTCTGTGGGTCTGTATAGCTGAAAGAGAGCAATGCTTTTCCACAAACAATGAGCCGACTCTTCAAACACAATGTTTAGATGGTCGACCAGCACTTATCAAAACTCTCCTCTGTCTGTAGAAACAACTGAATAAGACAGGGACAGAAGAGAGACAATAAGGCAGCGTCAAACAAGCACAGCACTGACAGAGGGTTAGCAGAGACTGACAGGACACTACAGGTGACAATCAGATGAGGTGCTGGTGGGCATTACTTTTGTGTCTCAGATAAATCATGGAGCATCAATGAAAAGTCTGTAAAATATTTCCAACTGTTTAATACACAGAGATGCTACATTGTTTTTTCAGTGAATACAAAACTAAGTCAGTGCATCTTTAGAATGACATCTGTGGCTATTTATATGTAAGAGAAAACATATAGTTTGGTCTTTGTTTTTAAGAGCCAATAAGCACCCTGTAAGAGACAGTGTATAGTTATCTGATGATGATGCAAAACAGAATCCCAACAGTGTAAGATATGACGATGACCTCAACTGGACTTTGTCTTTTCCACCATTTTCATTCAGGTTAAGGTCTCGAAAATGGCATTTTTCTGTGAACATCTTGCAGAGATAACAGATGCAGAAAGTAACAGCAGCAGAGACAGCAGGTTCCCCCTCACTTTTTTATTGGCATTTCCTCTTCACCTGTAGAAAAACACTGCCAAAGCACAAGTGGTTCCTTTGTTTTCTTCAATATGGTAGATTTCTCTTTAACTCAACTTTGTGTCTAAATTGACTGTGCTAGTCATCTTAGCTTTGTTGATTGTATTGAGCTGCTGCTGCAGCGTTTTGTACCAGATCAGCAAGGTAGAAGACTGGCAAAAGAAAAGTTAACAAACGCTAACATAACAATCACTGAACTTCCCGTAGCCATATATGTCTGAGTCAAACTAACACAACATTTTGCTCTGCTCGGGACCATACATACCTTAGGGATCCTCAGAGCTTTATCTAATGGTTTGGTGTGTTCAGACTGAGGGAAAAGATGTAACTGCAGTCCTGTTACTCTATCAGTTTTGGTGCATTTCTTTAATGCATGTATGTAACCATAATGTATGTAAATGTCTGTGGATGCACTCTCTTTGCTTCTCAGCTCACTTCAGACAAAAACGAAGGCCCTTTGTCCATGCTATTTTCAGATAATGACTGTAACCTCTTTCTGCTGACTCTGTGACTCAGAAAATCATAACCGTGGCAGGTGTTTTTGGTCAATCAGAATCAAGCATTTAATACTGCTTTCAGAGCCTTTTAATGCATGTAAATATGATAGTAGGACTGTTTGGGATTTGCTCACACCTCTGATACAGACAATCTTATCTCAAATCAACAGCTCAACAATACTGCCACGTTACAAATAAAAAATTGAGCTTCAGAGGGATGGATGATCAGTTGTTAAATATATTGTGCACCAAAACCAGTTTTTTATGTAAAAGCTTGTAAAATACCATAAAGTCCTAAATCAATAAATCAGTAATACAAAGCAGAAACATTGTGTAATACAAATGCACCAGTTCAGGTACCAATAATAAACCCTACTTCATTTAAAATGAGACTCCTTGCCTTGAGAAATCATGATGCAATAATCTGCTCATGTAGCTGCAGGGATGTGGAGTCCTAAATAATTTGACATGGGCAGTAGGAAGTAAGATTACATTATATCCACATGTATTTCTCTTATCTTTATGGTGCAGTTTAGAGATAAAAACTGATCATCCGTACTGGCACTGTGTACTCACTCTGCATGTGATGCATGCTATTATGCAAATGGTGTTGAGAATCATAAAACCTCGTTCAACCCTCTCTGCCTCCTCGCCCCTGCTCTCCTCTCTGTGGTTAGAAGGAGAAAACCCACAGCTTTGGATGGCAGCAAAGGTGGGCACGTGCAGCAGGCATGCATTTGTAATAAGAGACATGCCAGGAAAGAGAGCAAGCTGAGGAGGTATATCAAAAGCAGGAGCAGAATGAAATGCATGCTCCGACAGTGTGGTATCTGTCCTATGAGCTGTTGTGCGTCCATGTTTTCATCATATAGAGTGGTCTGTGAAGCCTCTCCGCTGGCTAAACACAGTCTGCCTCCTCCGTGGTCAAGTATCAACACAGTTAAGGGTCTGGTTGTGTGGGTGAGCCGTAATTATACGGTGCAAGTGATGAGTGTACAAGCACTCTCACCTGTTGATCTTTTCGTTTGTTTAGATTGAAGAAACCCAAGGAAGCCTTGGTAGCAATACTTCACTTGATTACATAACAGAGCAAGAACATAATGACACCTGTGTTTGTTTTATTGAAGTAAGAACAAAAACAAGCCACTTATTTTTGCTTTGTTTTGTTTTTCATTCTAGCTTTTGGACAGCAAAATCTGCAGCAGCCTTTTTTTTTTTTCTTGTGTATTTTTAAAGGCACTATGGGGAGTTTTTATATTGTCTCATTGGTCTGTATACCTTCAGGCAGTTAGTTTATTTCTGAGCAAAGGCAATATGTTATATAGATCATGAACAAAAACAACAATAACAATACTACCATTGATAATTAGATGTAGTAGATTAAGTCATACTGTAAATGCAGTTCAGTCAGGACCACTTTGTCAAAAAAGTTTATCATTTTGCAATTACACAACAATAACATAACAGATTGAGATTTGGTGCTGTGGCTCTGTTCTGGGACCTAACTAGGTCACTCTGAATTCCTTTGGTGGTGCTTTAAGGTGAGAAGCGGTTGTCTCTGCTACAGTGGTAAGGCGGTAGCTCTGTAGGCTTCTTTGATGTTGGCATACAGCAGATCCAGGGTTTTGTTTTCTCTGGTAGAACAGTTCACAAACTGTGTAAATCCAGTCAGGTGAGAGGAGAGGGTAACATGGTTGAAGTCTCCTGATAATATCGTTATTATTAGTGCCTCCGGGTGTTGAGTCTGTAGCCTGGCAACACTATTAAGCAAAAGATCACATGGGATTAATTAATTAACTATTAATATGATATGACTAAACTATCTTTGAACATAACATGGCCGAAGAGCAACTGCCAACAGTTCAGTTTCTTGACAACACAACTTCTCCTTGACAGTTATGTGTGAAGGGTTACACCATCTCTGGTTGACAAATAAAGCCAGACCTCCTCCTTTCTTCTTGCCACTAGCTTGAGCATCTCTGTCTGACCTTATGAGACTGAAGCCTCGATCCACACTGCACTGAAAAATTTTTTTTTAGTTCAATTAACCCAATTTTATTCATTTTAGCAGTTTCACACAATAATTTTATCTTGGTCTTTTTTTATTTTTTTTTATTTAAATGTACACATTATCTTTGGGTAATTTCAAATTCATTACATTTGTTGTTGTAACTCAAATACCCATTCATGTTCATTGAACTAAAATGTATTGTGTTGCCTTAACTGCTATCAACTTTTTTTAATTGTGTACATTCAAATCAATTTATTGGTTCATTAAAACATAAATTTGAGTTCAATGTAATTGAACATTTATTGTATTACTTGGTCTTCACTTGTTGATTTTAATATCCCCACAAATACACAAATGTTAATGAAACCTTTATAAATTTATTCAACAATGAATGAAAGTTTAAGCACCATTATTAAAAAAAAACTTGCACCACTACTTACATAACAAGGTGGTGCTGGTATTTGCAGGACAAAAAGACCAGGGGCCTTATGTATCAACACTTGCGTGGAACTCATACCAGAAACGAGCGCATGCAAGGTCCGTCACGCTGAAAAAAATCCGTATGTATCAATGTGTGCGGGTGCCGAAATCCACGTGTGTTTCCTTGATAAATCCCAATCAGCGTGGAATTGAGCGCAGATGTCGGAGTGACTGGGCCCGTCCCCGTTACGCCCTTCTATAAATATGCAGATTTATTTAAATAGGGTCTCCCTGTCCTCGCACGCAGACAAAATGACAAGAAAAACTAAATTTACGGCGTGCGAGGTGGAGGTGCTGGTGGCGGAGGTGGAGGAGCGACAGCGTGTTTTGTTTGGCAGCCTGTCCAGTGGCGTCAGTGCAAAACGAAAAGGCTTGGAGTGGGAGAAAGTTTGCCACAGGGTGAATGCGGTGGGTTCCGAGACACGAACCCCCGCGAAGATTAAAAAAAAGTGGTCGGACCTCAAGGTGGAGGTCAAGCGGCGCACAGCTGCCCTCCGGAGGAGTACTGGCCAGACAGGTGGGGGTCCGGGGGAGGAGACCCTCACACCGTTTGAGCAGCGGGTGGTGGCGATTATTATTATAGGGTAAGTGGCGTGTCACACAAATGTCCACATGCTTTGTCATCCCACTGAGCAAAAGACGTATATTAGACGTCTAGTCTAAGTTTATACTTCATTTCAACGTCAGGATTCAGTCTATTTTTAGACGTGATTTATACTTCGCCCTTAACTTCATTTTTCGATAACTTTTTATGCAATAAACAACTGTAATGTGCATAACTGACCTCTAAATACTGGATTACATTACCTATGATACCGTGGAGAGAGATGTAAATGCAACAGATACACAGAAGCAGGAATTGAAATGAACAGATATTTTTATTGTGTCACAGAAATCAGTGTGTCGGCTTGCGGAACCCCGGCCCGCGGCAGCCCGTCCGCCGGCTCGGAGTCGTCGGCCAGGACCAGCGGCATTCGGGCCACCCCGGCCCCAGCACCAGCACCAGCATCAGCACCAGGGCGCCGACAAGTGGTGGAGCGTCCACCAGCCGTGACGCTTCCGCCGGACCACCCGGACGCAGTGGAAGGGTCCTCGTAGAGGGGGTCCTGCAATCGCAGGAAGAAATCATCAGGGGGATCGCGGGGATCAACAAGCGGCTGGACCGGCTTGTAAATGTCCTCGAGCGTCTGGTGGAGAAAATAAATTAATTTGGCTCATTGAACTGTGTATTCACTTCTTACCCATTCACACTGTGGCGAAGAGATTCTCCCGCGCGAGGACGGCGGCCCGGCAGGGATCAGCTCGCATCCCTCTGTCTGCTGCTGGTTCGTCATGTGGGGCGACGTGCTGCTCGGCCACGGGGATGTGGTGCACGCTTGTCACATAGTGAGTCACCAAACACCGCCACACAGCGTCGCCAAAGTGCGAATCACAGTCAACGCAAGTATCGGCTCAACGCCAATTTCTACACCACCTCCTGACTTTGCGTTGATTAGCGCTGGAACCGACGCTCGTTTCGCGATGATAAATCTGGACGTGTGCGCCGATTTTGGCGTACGCAAGGTTTTCTGGCGCCGCCAGCATTGATACATAAGGCCCCAGAACCTTGCATATCTGAAAGACAGCATTCCTGACAGAAGAGGTGCTGAGCTTGTGCTACAATGTTATAACAATAGCTGAATACAACAGCAATTTCCTAAATATGCTTCAATGGTGTGGATGCACTTTGATGCACCCATTAAAGAATAAATACAATTACCTGTACCTACCTGTAATTACCATCAGGACCATCAAGGTGACATTTTTATCATCAAAGAATCACCTTTACCCTCTTTGAATGGTCAGACGGTTGAACTGCATAAGCAAGGCCTCTCACAGCACCATTGCTGCTGAGGCCAGATGCAGTAAGACAGTGATTTTAAACTTCTTCAAACATCCTGAGGGTTATGGAACAAAAAAATAAAATGGTAGAAGCAAATAAATCCCACCAGCCCTGAGCCCTGAGCCCTACAGTCCAATAACCATCAGGCGGCATCTGCCAGAGAAGCTTTAAGAACTAAAAACTTTTTCAAAGGCCTTGTCTCCTTCAATGCCATAAAATGTCCTGTTTGGAGTTTGGACAGCACTAAATATGAAACGTTGAAAGGTGATTCTTTGATGATAAAAATGTCACCTTGATGGTCCTGATGGCTTCAACATTCCTGTGATGACAAAGAGATCCACCGGAGATGTTTTCTATACGGCACATATTAACCTACACTAACTTTGGTGTCAAGATACATTTGGATGTGGGTTTGGATGAACCTACGATTACCAGAATAAGTGAATATCTGAGTTATGACCGCATGAGACAGCATCAGCCCTGTTTGGAGCTCTGGAGGTTTGCATACTTTAGTGAGACTGGTCCTTGGAGAAGATGGAGCAGGTACTGAAGGTCCGGGGCTACCGGCGGTTCGAGCGGTTCAGCTCAGAAGACGACTGAAGTCAGCCGAAGGATGGGCCAGGAGTTGCAACACTAGGGCCAAAAGCAAAAGCCAGTGCCGTATGGATCCTATTTGATGCTCCTTTGTCTCACCACAAACTCTGGCACAGAGGATGACTTTGGGCCTGCTGGGTGGTGTTCAGAGGTGACTTTGAAATCACGCAGATGACAGAGGCTCGATGACCAGTGGAAAATATTTCAAAAATAACTTTGCGAAATTAAAGAAAAATCAATTAAAGGCTTAATCTTGAATTGCTATGCGCACAAAAAGTTGAAGTTTCAAAACTTGAACTAAGACGATGTTTAAGAAAAATCAACATGAATGAACACGTGGCGTAAAACTTTGAAGACTAAGAAAAAGTAAGACTAAGTAGTAAGAGTAAGAGCTAAGCGAATCAGAGAGTAGAACTGAAGAGTAGAAGAGCAATAAGAGAAGAGAGCAAGCACCCCTAACCTTACTGGTTTTGTCTCCTTCACACTGGGAGTGTCTCTTCCGTGTGTGTGTGTGAGGAGAAAGAGGAGGGGTTGTGCGGTCTCCGGCTGCAGAGGAGACCTCTTGGATATCTGATTAGTTGATCTAACTTATACTTTTGGCCGGTAAAAGAGTCAGATCTGATACTCACTCACTATGATTAATATCATTAAAATGTTTGGTTTCATGATAAATGATTTGATACTAAACACATATGAATGAAATGTAGGATCACATCAAACATTTTCATTTTGTTGTAAGTATCACATTGAACATGCTAAATTACTCTGAAATGAAACAGATACTAACACATAGAAACTGTGAACTAAAGAGTAAACACATGTGAATAAACTTCATCATGATTAATAATGGATTCTATATGCTAACATTCCGATTATTCAATGACCTTATAACCACCTTATGGTAAAACACTAAATAAACGATTAAAATATAAACCAAACATTTCTTAACTATTTCTGTTACTTAAAGTTAACAGTTTCATAGTAAAGTTATGATTCATAGTCAATAAATTTAACTCGTAAAGTTCATGAAACTGTCTGAAAAGCTGTTGGTCTAAAGAAACTAAAGAATAAAGGATTTATTCTGTCAGAGTGATAACTTGGCTTCTGGAGCACATAGAAAAATGGGACACATCTCATTTGAACACAAATTTCATGATTAGACAGATTAGTACATTGCTGAATGCATAAGATGCCATGATCAGTCATTTGTATTCTTTCTCCAAAGGAATGCAGTTCTTTTCAGAGTATGGTTGAGCAGGGTTTTACGACTGAGGTCTGGAGGTCAGTGTCCTGCTCCTCAGACCTATCCTTTGGGTCTTCGTGATTAAGATCTGGGTTGAGGCGTTAATGTTTATTTAGATGGTCAGTGATGGAGTCAGTTTGAAAGGTAATAAAAACTCTGTCTCTGTTCTCCGAATTGACCAGTCATGAAGACCAGAGGTTTGGGTCAACCTCCGATCGGGTCAGTTAGGTAACCTGAAAGGGCAAACAAGTCTGGAAAGATTTATACCATCCTGTGTCCTGGGACCAAATAAGAAACCTTTCCTGCAAGGAATGTGTGAGTTTCATCCACAGGGTTGTCTTGATTGCTACAATTGTTATGTTAGATTATGTTATTGTGAGATTGTTTTTGTTTGTCATGGGAAATGACAATCAACGCACATTGCCATCAACGCTATGTGCGCTTTGATGGCTTCTACATCGTCTGGGCCAACCGGGATTGCACCAGGAGCAGTAAGCGGAAAGGCGGGGGGCTTGCTGTTGCTCCAGAGAGATCCCACATGTGATCATCGTTGCTGTTTACCCCCCCTCTGCTAACCCATTGTCCGCATACAGTGTTATCCACTCCTCCATCTCCAGACTACAGACTCTTCACCCTAGTGCCCTCATCATCATGTTGGGAGACTTTAATCACGTCACTATGGATAAAGTTCTGCCGACATTCAGTCATATGTGAGCTGTACTACCAGAGAGAAGAGGACTCTGGACCTGATGAATGCTAACATCAAGGATGCATACATCTTCTCCTCTCTCCCTCCTCTGGGTAGGTCAGACCACAACTTGGATTTCCTCAAACCCTGCTTTGTGATTCTAGTTTAAGAGAAAGCCTGTGACCACGAGGACTGTGATGAGGTGGTCGGAGCAGGCCTATGAGGCACTGCTGGGCTGCTTTGAGGTCACTGACTGGCCTGCGCTCTGTGAACCACACGGAGAGGTAATTCATGGACTCACAGACTGCATAACTGACTATATAAATTTCTGTGTGGACTGTAATGTTGCAGCTCGGACTGTCACCTGCTACCCTAACAAAAATAATATCAATAAACCGTGGATCACCAAAGACATGAAGGCCACTCTGAACAACAAGAAGAGGGTGTTTAGAAATGGCAACCAGAAGGAGATTAGGAGAATACAGGGGGTCCTCAAAATGGAAATTAAGGAGGCAAAGAACAACTACAGGAGAAAGCTGGAGATAAAACTTCAGCAAAACAACATGAGGGAAGTGTGGAGTGGCATGAGAACCATCACTGGTTTTAAAAAGACTGGCAGCAGTGGGTTAGAGGGCTGTGTGGACTGGGCCAATGAACCTGTTTTTCAACAGGTTTGACTTTGCGGCTGCTACCCCTCCCCCACTCGACTCAGCTGCTATCTGCCTACCTCCAAGTGCTCTAAGCGCTGCCACTCTGCCACCCCCCACCTCCTTACAGATCTCCTGTCCACTTCTGACCTCCACTATCCACCTACCCTTCCCCTGACTCTACAACCTGTCCTTCCGTACCTGAAGACCTCCCCTTTCCCCCACCTATCACCCCTACCATGTCCTTCACACCTGACCAAGTGTGAGGACTGCCAAAGAGACTCCACCCTGGCAAGGCTGCAGGCCCTGATGGTGTGTTACCTAGGATGCTTAATGCCTGTGCCCCCCAGTTGTGTGGAGTTCTTCACCAGATCTTCAGCCTGAGCATGCACCTCTACAAGGTCCCTGTGCTGTGGAAGACGTCCTGCCTTGTTCCTGTGCCAAAGCTGCCGCATCTCAGCAGCTCTCAGGACTACAGATCAGTGGCTCTGACATCTCACATCATGAAGACCCTGGACAGACTGGTCCTGGAGCAGCTAAGGCCTATGGTCAGGCCCTTCACTGATCCACTGCAGTTCGCCAACCAGCCCTGCCTGGGAGTTGAGGACAGCATCATCTACCTGCTGAACCAGTCCTACTCTCACCTAGACAAGCTGACATGTACTGTGAGAGTCTATTTTTTTGACTTCTGTAGTGCTTTCAACACCATCCATCCAGCTCTACTGGGTGAGAAGATGGCAGCGATGCAAGTGGCCCCCCCTTGTGTTCTGGATTGTTGACTACCTGACTGGTAGACCACAGTATGTGCGGCTGCAACATTGTGTGTCTGACACAGAGGTCAGCAGCACCGGGGCCCCACAGGGGACTGTCCTTTCTCCTTTCCTCTTCACCCTCTACACCACAGACTTTAACGATTGCACAAAGTCCTGCCATCTTTGGAAGTTTTCTGATGACTCTCCAATAGTTGGATTCATCAGAAAGGGTGGGGAGAGTGAATACATGACTGTGGTAGACAACTTTGTCACATGGTGTGAGCTGAACCATCTGCAGCTCAATGTGACAAAATCTGAGGATCTCATAGTTGATCTGAGGAGGAACAAAACACCTGTGACCCCCGTTACCATCCAGGGGGTCCCAGTGGACACTGTGGAGGAGTACGAGTACAAGTACAAGTAGGGGTGTACTTTAACAATAAATTGGACTGGACCAGAAATACCGAGGGCGTCCACAGGAAGGGTCAAAGCCATCTCTATTTCCTGAGGAGGCTGAGGTCCTTCAACATCTGCAGGACAATGCTGAGGATTTTTTATGAGTCTGTTGTGGCCAGTGCGATCTTCCTCGCTGTTGCGTGCTGGGGCAGCAGGCTGAGGGTCGCTGACTCCAACAGACTCAAAAACTGATCAAAAAGGCCAGTGACGTTGTGGAGGTGTAGCTGGACTCCACTGCTGGTCGTGTAAGAGAGGAGGATGCTGTCCACGCTCCACTCCATACTGGACAGTGTCACCCACCCTCTCCACAGTGAACTGGTCCTGCAGAGGAGCACCTTCAGCAGAAGGCTCCTCACTCCACGATGCACCACAGAGCGCCAGAGGAAATCTTTCTTGCCAGTGGTCATCAGACTTTTTAACTCCTCCCTCAGAGACTTTGATACCCTCAGTCAGGGTCTTACCTGGACTCTGCTTACTGTTTGCAAGTATGCTGCTTTATGCTGTGTCAAGTCCCATGATGTGCATCTTATGCTGTTTAAGGTGTGTCCTATGGATGATTGTGTACTGTATTAACTGAATTTTAGTGTTGGTAGACATGGAGAATATGATTGAGCAGACTGTTTTCCAAAATTGACAGTTAGAGTGGATGTTGAGGTCTTTCGCATTTCTTTATTGGTATGTGATGTAAGTTGTTTTGGAGGATATGAGTTTATCTAGTTGTGAGATAATTTTTTTCTTTGACTGTGGTATTTTATTTATGTTATCAAATAGTGGTGGGTGTTCTAGGTGGATGTTTGTGATGTTTACTTTAGTTTCGATTGATTGAGTTGGATATATCAGAGGAAGTGTTTCTTATCAATGTTATATGTGTCAGTGAGCTGTTTGAATGTTAGGAAGGTGTTGTTGAAGATGTGGTGGAGGTGTGTGATTCCCTTTTCTTCCCATTAAGTTCCTGCTAGGAGTGATTTGTTGGCAGTGAAATCAGGGTTGTTTCATATTGGTGTTTGGGTTGTGAGTGAGAATGTTGTTTTGTAGTGTTTTTTGTTGATCTTCCACCAAGCTGTTAGAGATGTTGCTATAGCAGGGTTTTTGAAACAGTTGTGATGTTTGATT